ACAAGCCTTCGGATCCAAGATTGGTTGATCTGACTATAGAGAGGCTAACGGTACATCTCAAGGAGAGATCAAAATCCGAAAGCATCACGTGTCCATCATCTCTCACAAGAACATTCTCAGGTTTCAGATCACGGTAAATGATCCCAAGCATGTGCAGATACTCCATTGCAAGAAGCACCTCCGCTACATAAAACCTGACAACAGTAAACAAAGTCAACACACACATAAGAGTACTTTCTTAGATGTAAAGAAAGTTTTAAAAGTTTGTTCTTACTTTGCTGCTTGCTCTGTGAAGCGTTTCCCAGGTTGTCTCTGTCTCAGTGTATGCAAATCACCTCCAGGGCAAAACTCCATAACCAAACAAGAGAACTTCTCGGTCTCAAAATGACTATACAACGTAGGTAGAAACGGGTGATCAAGACACTGCAGTATCTCTCTTTCAGTCTGAGCTCTAAGAAGCTTTTTCCTACTAGCCAAAGCTGTTTTGTCCATAACCTTCATGGCAAAGTAACACCTTGTCCCGTTCAACTCAGCGAGATGAACAGTTCCAATATCTCCACATCCTAACCTCTTCAAGAGCCTAAAATGGTTCAAACCCAAACCGCCATGTTTGGTTCTAACAGCTTGAATAGCTTCCCATCTCACATCGTTGGCCTTGTGAGGCTTGTTGATGCTGCTGCTGAAGCTGCTACAAGTGCTCTCATCGCTTATATCACTGCTTGTGCTCGGTCTACAGGTACTGCTCTTACCGCTCTCTCCTTGCTCACTGGTCTTGTTGTTATTACCGGTTTTGCTGTTAGTGCTTGGATCAGCGAAAGACAAGCTTGAAGAGACTTGATCTGCTAAAGTACTAACTGACATACTTTGACTGGAACTGGTAGCTGATCCTTCTGGTGTCTTGGAGGCCATGGATGAACTAAAAAAGCTAATCAGAGCAAAGCTTGATTTGTGATTGTTAGAAACCAATTCTTGATTTGAGTAACGTTTCTTGACTCTAGTAATCAATATTGCCACAGTTTTCCATCAAAGCTGACCTGTAACATTAGTTAACAGAAAGCTTGTTACTCAAAAGTCATGAACAGATTGTTAAATCAAGAGATTAGTAATCACGGATCTTACTAAAAAAGAGTAATAAATAGAAGGAATTTGAGCTGTTATGGATCTTGAATTCATATCTAAACTGTGAGTCAATTGAATCAAAAAAAAATTAGGATAAACCTATTCAAGCTCTCTTTGGGTTCAGATTTAACTAACTAGAATCAGTATAAACCTAATTGAAACATTTTCAATGCAAAAAGGTGGAGTTTTTTTTTTCTTTTGTCACACAGATCTCATTAAAGTAAGAACAGCCAAGTAAAGGCCTTTTGGATCTAACAAGAATCAGAGAATGGAA